TTCTTGAGAAGCACTTGAGTACATGCTGCAGAGAGTGTTGGTGCAGTCTCCCAGAGGTTCTGGATATTTGCAGTAACTTCTGGACAAGATACAGTTACTTGTTTTACTGCTGATGGCTGAGAGGGTTGGTGACTGTGCCCTGACTTCTGTCCTCTCCACTTTCAAAGGGTACAAAAGACTCTAATGATCTGTCTTAAAACTTTTTACTTAGAATACAAAGTTGGACTTCCATTTTCCTGATAGGACCTTAACTGATAAACCTTAAAACAGATTAATTTTTTTATTCTGCAAATGTAGTCCATCATTCAGCTCAGGGAGCTGTTCAGTACAATAAAGAACACAGCAAATATAGGAAGGTGAAAAATGTAAATAAGCAATCATGCTCATTATTGGCATTCAGGTGCCAACCATTCTGAATCTGAAATCACTTTACAAACACTATGAGATTGGTAAACGTTACTAGTTTGGCCTTCTTGCTGTTCGAGACAGGTTAAGTAAGCTCTTTTCTTATTAGGCCTTGACAAGTTTCCACCACTAGTGAGGGGCTTTCCCTTCTTTTCACAGGCCTGGTTCCTTCTCCTCTTTCAGGTTTTAAGTATCATTACCCAGAGTGGTCTTCTAACAACAGTCTAAAGTTATTCCCTTCCACCCACACTTTTATCATCTGTACTCTGATTTTTCCTTTTGTGCAATGTATTATAATTTTTCATTTTGTATTTGTCTGTTTACCTGAATATGTCCATCTTTTCCATCAGGTTGTAAGCCCTACAGCAGGGCTGAACCAGGTGTGTTTTTCTCATCAGTGAATACCTAGGAGCTAGTATAATATCTTATACACAGTAACACTCATTAAAATTTATAGAATAAATAAGTAAATTGCTCAGTCATGTCTTCTCTCAAGGATAATATTTAGTCTTCCCCTATTATAAACCCAACATTCATCATTTTTACCTTTTTTTCTTTTCAAACTGATGATATGGGTGGGGTGCTTACTCATAGAAATTAAAGGCTTAAAGTGAAAAGACATAATTAGGGAGTTACTCTTTGACATTCTTAGTCTCTATAAATATTATACTGCAAATTAAGAGCATAATTCAACATTTAACAAAGAAAATTCATCATTTCCTGTGGGTAATTTTGGCCTAATATTAATTTTAGCAGGTCTCAAAGGTGGCTTATAATATGGAAATAGACAGACATAAGCTGAGAAATAAGGTGTATTTTCATCACAATTTATCTGAATTAAACAATTGTCTTTAGAAAAGAGAAAGGAGGTATAGCCTTTATTTTTAGTCAGATACCAGTTCTCAGACTAAACCTCTTCAACAGTCAAAATGAAGCTCCCACACGTTTTAAAATTTTTAGTTATGAATTTTGAATCTAAGTCTATGGTTTTCATCTGTCATAATTAAGTAGATAAGATTTTATTTAGTTACCCATTAAAAGGCATGTTACTAAGGAAATTCCTATGACAGTTTGACATTTTCAGCACATGAGAGACATTCATTGCATCATGGGGAGGTACACTCTTCCTATCTGATTTCATCTGCAGGTCCTGGATTGGCTCTTTTTCTATTCTTTTTTTTTTCCAGTACTTTTCTAAAGAATACATCATGGGTCTCTTGAGCCTTTGTGGTAGAAAGGAAGAACTGAGCAAAGGAAAAGGATGACATTTTGGAACTACTAAATGTCTAGGAAAATAAAACATCACTAAATAATAAAAAACATTTATGTAACTAGTATCTTTACTCTTAGGATCTAACATAGGCAAAAACTGGTCATTTAAAGTCATCTTCATTATTATTATTTTGATAATATTTACCTACTTTGTCAGGTTAAAGAAAGTTCATCCTTTAACTAGGAAATTAAATTATAATTGCAGTATAAGAATTGTCTTTAGAAATATTAGATAACAATTTCATATCCAAAATATTTCAGTTTAGTCTTACTTTACTGTGTTTTAAAACTGACTAGTTATAATGCTTTCTGTAATCATAGAAAAAAGTAATAATTTGTATGCTCAGTTTAAAGATACTCTCACATGTATTTTCCTATTTTTGTGCCAACAAAAGTGATGGAGATGTCAACTAGGCATAACAATAGATGGAATTAGCATTCATAGGTGTTTTGAGACTTTAAAAAAATAGTTCTTATGCCTGGAATCTTGTATTCATGGAAATAAATTAACACACCAAGACAAAGATATTTTAATTGTCCCTTCATTTAATGTATACTTTTATTTTTTTAAAATTTTTATTATTGGTTGTTCAAAACATTACA